ATCAAGTTCAAAATTTCAAGTCATTCTTTTTAAGAAAGACTTAATTTATTACATATTTGTAAGTATAAAATAACAATGAACCATTTAACTTTCTTATCAGCTCAATCATTTTGTATGCATTTACATTCAACTTTCTATTTCCTGTTTAGAATCTAATTTATTTTTAAAGGACACTCACATTGAGATGAAATTTAATGATTTTTTACTTAAAAAAACATCAAAAGTATTGTCTAACAGTTTTCTTATATATTGTCAATCACTTTTCGAATCATTTATTAAATTAAAATTATATTAGGCCTAAATATGTCTTCAATACAGAAACGCGACATAGAGTGAAAACTTCTTACTAAGATTCGTTGTTTCTTTCTTCAATAGACGAAAACTCTGAAACTCAACATTTATTTCTTTAATGATTGAGCCTATCAATTGTTGTATGTCTAAGATGACATTTTCGTACTACTTTGTATTAATGCATATCTTTTGCAAATTTTTTTTCTTTCTTCATATTTCAGACCCACGACAGTCCGGTGCGAACGATGGTCTGGTCCCGCAACGACAGCTGGATGGTGACAGGAGACCACGCTGGTTACGTCAAGTACTGGCAGTCGAACATGAACAATGTGAAAATGTTCCAAGCGAATAAAGAGGACATCCGCGGAATAAGGTATCTACAAATTTTATATATTATATCTCTCGTTTTCAAATGATTTTTGTTCTTATTTTTCTGTTCGACTTTTCAGTGCCATTTCAATCAAACTATTATTCGATTTAATTTAAAAAAAAGAATATACATATTCTACGTAAATTACTTTAATTTTTCGGAGATAACTTGATTGTTTTTTATGTTTTTTGTTTGTTTATTTTCTTATTGGGATATATAATGATTGTGTGTGTTAAAATAGTTTCAGCCCGACGGATAGCAAATTTGTAACCTGTTCAGATGACGGGACGCTCCGCATTTGGGATTTCTTCAGGTACCAAGAGGAGAACGTTCTGCGAGGTAAGTTGTGACGATTTTACACATAGTACCGTGTTCTCATGCTGGGGGTTTTCATTTCATGGGGTGGACGTGAAGTGCGTTCATTGGCATCCGCAGAAGGGGCTGATCATCTCCGGCACCAAGGACAACCAGCAACCAATCAAACTGTGGGATCCGAAGAGTGGGCAGTCTCTGGCGACTTTGCACGCCCACAAGTCGACGGTGATGGATTTGAAGTGGAACGATAATGGCAACTGGTTGATCACCGCGTCGAGAGACCATCTGCTCAAGTTGTTCGATCTGAGGAATCTCAGGCAGGAAGTGCAAACGTTCAGAGGTCACAAGAAGGAAGCGTCGAGCGTAGCTTGGCATCCGCATCACGAGGGACTCCTCTGCAGCGGAGGATCTGACGGATCCATCATGTTTTGGAATGTCGGCTAATAACGAATTTCTCTTAACGAGAGTAACACAATGCAAACTAAACATGTCCATTTGCAGAGCTGACAAGGAGGTTGGTGCGATCGAGCAGGCCCATTACAGCACAGTATGGACGTTAGCTTGGCATCCGCTCGGACATATCCTGTGTTCCGGATCGAATGATCATACCAGCAAGTTTTGGTCGAGAAACATCCCCGGAGACCAAATGAGACATACATACAATTTGAACACTTTGTCATCGGGAGTCTCTGGAGCCGAGGATATTCACATTGGTAATGCTACACATTTTTTATGTATATAAACTAATGAATCTGATATGATATGAATATCGAACAATTTTAATTTGATAATCTTGCGTTTACGTGTGCAGATGAACCGTCAGTAATTCCAGGAATGGGACCAGAGGATAAAGTGGAGTCTTTGGATCCCGATGATTCTGACCTTCCTGGCAGTGATTTGGACCCAAATTCGAACGAAGACAAGAAGGCGAAGAAGGTGCCCTACAGTAAGCCAATTCCACAAAACTTCCAAGCGCAATGGAACAAAACTGGTATGTCATCTGAAACGAGCTTTTCATATTTATTGACGAAATTTTTACATATTTTATCGCTTTCTTTTTCATTTTCTCTGCAGATGAAGAGTCGCCAATTAATGAAGACATATCACAGATTGTGGACCGAGGAGCACCTCCGGATTTCATGTACAACGAGGGCGGCGATTTCAACTCGTCCAGGTACGATGACGACGACGATGATTACATGGACAACCGAAACTTCCAAAGCAACGGCGGAAACTTCAACAACCAGTTTGGACGGAACGGACCTCCACTTTGTTGTTACTTTTCAGTTATAAAATTAATCTGAAATCATCATCGCAGCTTGCCTCTACTATCTTCCTTCTACAGTTCTGTGATATTACGACGACACATATGAATTCTATTTCGTGATTGGAAATCATCATAATGGTAACTATTCACCGGAAATGTTCACATTGATAAACAGATTGTGAATAAAATTACTTCATCTCCTAAACTAAAATAAAAGTTAGTCTTTTAAAAACAATATTTTTTTAATTTTTCTTCATCACTTGTTCAAATTTATTTACAATTATCGATATTCAGGAGAAACTCTTGCTTTGTGATGAAAGACACATTTCCAACATTTACTTTACATCAATTCTTCATAATTTCAGCTAGTCATTTCTTAATTTTATTGATCTTTTCTCAAAGATTGTAGAACACAGATAATTTCATGAAATCTTTTCATCATCATCACCTTTATTATATTCTTCCAGCAGATCAGAACAATTCAAGAGGTTTGTCAACTAGCAATTCATCAATGAACTGTTATAATTTTCATTGACAAATATTATTTTTTTTTAGCAGCAGGTCATCCGCATATGCAATTTCACCTTTATTTAGGGATTTACCACCTCATTTAAAGTAAACCATGTAAAAACAAATTTCAATGTATTCACCCTAATGCAAAATTAAAGAAAATATATTAAATATATATCCATGTACAATTTTTATAGTAATCCGGTAAAACCAGGTTGGACGGTGTTCCTTCGCCCCGAGGTCCTGGCATTTCGTGTAGGCCTCACCAGATGATCCTGTTAAACCCTGAGGTTGACCACTGCCTGTGGTTCTTGCAATCTGATAAATCCCTGTATATACACCTGTATTTTCAATTAATTCGACTTTTTATCTCTGGTATAGTGTACAAAATCATAAAGTGCTAACCTGTATAATTCCAAAGGTTCCAGCTTTTCCTGGTTTGCCAATAACTGTTATGCCAGGTGGTCCGTCAGGGAGGCCCCTGAAAAACTCCTGTGTTAGTTCTTCATACTCTAGGTCTAGGATAACGTGCGGTTAGGTTAGGTATCATTTAGAAATTAGTCGATTACTGTAACGAGCACACAAATGTATATCTGAAGCCCCAGGTGTTCCGAGTCTGGCGGATCTTTTTCTAAGAATAAATTGTTATTGTACCTCTGAGCCTCTGAGATTTCAAAATATTGCGACCCTAAAGTGAAAAGAAAACCGCTCATAAACCTTCGATGGTCAACATTTTCGGAAAAATCCGAAGTTAAGTCATTTTTCGGCGCCAGCCAATGAAATTGAAATCCACCACCACAACCCATCCCAATTTGCATTTGCATCTTCACAATCGAGTAAACTTTGTGCGCACCTGGCATATATAAAATATACGTAAAAATAACTCCAATACTATACTAACGTCCAAGAAGAACAGAATCACTTGGACAACACTTCGTATTTAAAAATAAATACTAAAGATGCAACAAATACGAGAAACAAAGATGATCGCTCTTAGAGCAAGTGCTGATAATCCACCCACATCAGTGTGGGTGGAAATTTATGCAAAATTTGACCATAAATTGCGAAACGCGCTCTCCTGCATTCATCGCATCGTGGGTTGCAGGATTTTTATGCTCTCAGAAAATAAAAATATTTATATCTGATATAACATCACATGTACAATAATTTGGTAATGTTTCACGAAAATATTAAAGGAAATTAAGCTGCGAGTTTCTATTAAAATTTAATTAATAGACTCACTAATGTAGAAACCCCTTAGGTACAAATACCTAGACGCAAGATGGCAAAGTCAGACATCGTTGGCTCCAGATTTCTCGGGTACTTGAGCCTCAACAAACCACCGGTCATCAATGGCATTTGATAAATGAAACCGCAGGAGCCTGACATCCTACATAATAAGGTTCATATCAGCACAGATACTTGATCCGCATCTGGTACTTAAAAATAGATACCAGACGTTATAGGTACTTAACCCTTAGAAGCCTGATTTTCCAAATTAAATATTTAAAAAATATCAATGTATCTATTGCAGTAGCCAGATAAAGGGAAAAAATATATTTATTTCTAAAAAAAAGCAGGTATTGATTATGATACATATAGCCATAAACAAGTCTCACAAACTGTTAACATACTTAGGTATCAAATTTGAAACTAACTAACCCTTAAATGTTAAAACTAGACACCAAATTCCGAACGTACCTATAACTAGAAGTCTGGCGACATAGAAACCAGAAATTTATTTCTATATAGATTTTTTACAAAAATTTACATTTTAACCCTTTCCAGTCCAATTTTATTCAAATTTTTATAAAATGGACATAAGTAGAAAAACATCCTGGATTAATCTGTCATAAATTTTTCTGCGACTCCGCACTGTGAATCACTGATATAGATAATTTCATTTTATAAATTTTTAATATTAATATTTTTTCTATTATTTTGTTTGATTGTATCTTGTTTACGATGTTCTTTTTAAGACACTAGCTAATATCTGCTAAAAGGGTGATTATTAGGACTTCATTATGCAAAGTCCTAATAATCAATAATAATTGCAATTAGAAAGTTGTTATTAATATTATTAGGATTAATAAAAATCTTTTGATTAGTTTATCAAGAAATCATGCTACATTAAATGTATAATTATAAATATAAAAAGAGGATAAAAATAGATTTATACCACTTTATTAAATAACATCTCAATTGATAAATACTTATTACTGCTTTGTGTCTCTTTCTTTACTATAAATACAATGATCCTGTTGTTTTCTTTAGTGAAATGGGGTGCAAATTAAATATTGGACCTTTTTGATTTCTTGAGGCGGGTGCGTAACTTATATATTTGGTCCAAAGCAAGACTATTGTTCAGAAATGATAAAGACAGAAATAACATTTAAACTGAAGTTATCCACACCACAAATCCATAAATATGTTTATTTGGTTAAACAAAAGCGTAGTACAAATAATATAAATATTTGTTCAATCACATTAAAAGAAATGAATGCAAACTTAATATATAATAAAATGTATACATTTATAGGATGTCATACGTGTATGTAAGACGTCATACACTGCATTTTATTCTACGTAAAAATCGATCAACGAGTACTACGAGGAATTTAGATAGGGACCAATCAAATCCATGGAGACTTATCCGTTCATCATTATACCAAAGAGAAAAATTCAATATTTCAAAATAAAACAATTTATATTCATTTAGATTTAGAAAATAGTTTTATTCATTCCCAATAAGCAAAATTACATTTAAATCTTGTAAAAAAATTGTAAACAATTATTTTAAACAAATATGAAATAAATATAATAAAAAAATAATAATCCAATTAATTATTAACCTGTAACTTTACATAATTTGAATAATTTATGTTAAATGCAATTCAAAAAAATACAATTTTATATTATTTTATCTTTTATTATTAAGGAATGGTTACAAGTATTGAAAACCATAGCTCCTGGAGCTTCCGTTGTGAAATTGGAACAACTTCTTTCAACCGCATTTGGTTTAATTAGCAAAGAAAGCTCTGCTTTGGGTTTACCAGACTTTCTAATCAATAATCTACCATTTGCAGCAAAGATTTTGGTAAGTTATGACATTATTTGCAAATGTTATGCCTTTCATTCCTAACTTACATTTATTACAGGAAAAAAATCCGCGAGTTTCAGTTTAAGACATTCTCTATCGCATGTACCCTTACAAAATATTCTTAAAGCCAAGCTCTTACCAAGTTTAGCTCGATAAGCACTAAAACGACTGCTTCCAACTCTCTCTCCAATCGTCCATCGTATGAGTTAAATCTGTACATACTACCTGATACATCCACTAAGTCGTTCCATCAAGTGTATATGCTGCGGAACGTCGTAGAACAATATGTTGGTTTCGTTAAGAGACTTTGATAATTGATGTTTTTCCAATGGTGACGACATCGTTGACAACTTCGCATTTTAGTTCGTTTGTTGTTGTAGATATGTTTGGAAGGATATCGATCTTATCCAAAGTTTTGTCTAGA